GGTCATGGGGGACACGCTTGCCGGCCTGCCGCCACCTCTGCCTCTCTGTCCCTCTCCAGCATCTGGACTCACTCGCCCGGCCCTCTGTTACATGCCTTCACGACAGTCCTCTTCTGCTCGGACGTTCTTGGGCTCTGGGCATTAGGAAGCCAAGTTCAAATATTCCTGTCCCCCTCGCCTGAATCCTTAAGGCAGAAGGCGCTCCCCACGTGCGCCTAGACCCCAGAATCAGGAAGATTGATTCAGGCCTCGCAGTCCTAGCGGACTCCTGGCTGTTACCTCCTCCCCGAGGAGCTGTCGTGAAGACAGTCTCCCAGCACGGACGCTGTGACCCGGGGCCACGAAAGCCAGGGGTGGGCTTCTCCCTCGTCGTCCTTCCTAAACTGGGTTTGTTTTTTCATTTGGCTTTTGCAGGAAGTGGAGCCCATGGCCATGGAGTGTGACCACATCCAGATCACAGCCCTGTCTCAGGCACTGAACATCGCCCTGCAGGTGGAGTACGTGGATGAGATGGACACGGCCCTGAACCACCACGTGTTCCCCGAGGCTGCCACCCCTTCCGTTTACCTGCTCTATAAAACCTCCCACTACAACATCCTTTATGCAGCCGATAAACGTTGATTACTTTTAGGCCACACAGTGGAGCCTGTCACCTAACGGGACTACATTCCAAAAGGAACATTCCGGCTTTTTAATTTTTTTAAGCAACTTAGACTATAGTTAGAAAACGTACAGCCTTTTGGGCAGACTGGCCAGGAACACGGCCTACCCATCACGGACTGCGGTAACTTGGTGATACTCTTAGTATTTATTTTCACGGAGGACCAAATGCTTTCTAACTCAGGGCTACACAGCCAGAAGGCCTGGCTCTGCTCCTAGGTCCCTGAGACCCTGGGCAGGTCCCCAACCCTCTCTGGGCCTGTGTCTTCATTTGGACAAGGTTCCTGCCAGTGCTGACATTCTGTTATTGTGTAAAACTAGGGCCCCCCTGATTTCCTTTCACCAGGGGCGGTACCTCTCTGTTGGGAGGAAAAGCTCGAGATCAGCGGTCTCCAGTGACTCACCAGTTCTGCAGAAAAGAGCCCAGTCCAATCAGCTGACGGACTGGGCTGCGGTGGATGGTCGACGGAAGCGCTGTTAAGGACTTCAGCGAGGTTCCAGACATTCACCAGGGGCACGTCCTCTCACCCTAACTTGAAAACAACTTTTCCGCCAAAGTCTAGAAAGGGGCTTTCAGCATGAAGCTCAAGCTGCTGTGTGGCCCGACTACCTCTCTCAGGCCAGGGCTGCCTGCCCATGGGCAGGCCCTTCAGCGTTCTGCAGCCAGCCCTACTGGAAGAGAGGCCCAGGAAGTGGTCTCCCCATCCCCAGCACAGCCTGGAAGCAGAATCTAGCTCATCCTCCGGGTGGAGAGCCCACATGCAGCCAGACTCCAGCCGGGCAGGGCAGACAAGTTTTGCAAGGCTGTCTGTGGCTGCTTTTCCCCACCTTCCTGGTTTGTGGGCCGGCAGGAAGTTAGGGGAGAAAGAATGGAGACAAGACAAGGGAAGGGGCGGTGGGGGAGAGTTGTGCCGTGGACACCACCTCAAAGCCTAGAGCCTCGGCTGGCAGCTGCCTTGTTCATCCACATGGACGTGCCCCTTAGTAATCCCTTGTCATCTTGCTGCCCGCCCGCCCCCCTCCCCCGGGCCTCAAAGAGCCCTGGCTAATGTGGGGCACAGCTGGCAAGCTCCCTCCCTCTGTGGGAGGAAACGGAGCACGTGGAGGGGCGGAGCTGCCTGAGGGGCTACTTCCCTAACCCACGGTCTTTGCTCGCGGGATCCATTCTGCAGGACTGAGGGGAATCCACCGGTGCTCCAGTGCGCGTCTGCTGCCAGCCGGACTGCACAGGAACTAGGCCGCAGACCGCTCCCGGGCGTGGCCCACAAACTTCTGCCTTTGTGAAGACCCCTGTTAGGGTGTGTTAATTCCAGCCAGGGACCCCGGTTCCCCTAGTCCCCTTAGCTGGAGTTCAAACCCAAGGGTTCACACTAAGTGATGTCACTTTTCCACAGGAATGGAAACCTGACCTTGATCTCTGAATTGGTTATGTCCCATCCTGCTCTGGGCAGGAGTGCCAGGGTCTGTGACCAACACACTGGAAGAACGGGGAGGGGGAGGAGGGCATTATGGGACTTGTGACTGACCACCAGGGTCACCACATTCAAACTGAAGGCTATGACCACAGTACCAGGCTGAATGGCTCTGGCTGCTCTGAGGGGCCGTGAGCCAGCCTGGGCCCCCAGCTGGGTTCTCACACACTGCAGCCGCCGCGCGGCTGCCACTGCTCAGTGTGTGGCGTGTTCACAAAGGTGGATTTCTGTTTGGCAGACTGGCTGGACAAAGTCCCTCTCAGACCCCTATTCTGTGCTTCCCGGTCTGAGCACCTGCAAGCACTGCTATGGGCCCCTCTTCCCCGGAGAGATCCTACTAGCTTAGAATCAGAACGCTGGAGAAAGGCAAATTATGCTCTGTGCTTCCTCCTGTTTTCCACAAAACCACTGGCCCAACCCAAGCCCTGGCTTTCTTCCCTCGCATCACACGCAGACCTTGTATGAAGACCAGCACCAGTAGAGAAAAGAGTTGCAGAACTGGGTAACTTGTTAAAACCCAGTCATGTGCGGAGGTCACTTGGCCTGTCATGCTGGCATTCACACTTTTCTGGATAATTCTCCACCCCACCTCACAAAGCCATCCCTTTCCAAATCAAGAGCAGGCAGGAAAGTTGCTTTCAGAGTCTGTCCTTGTAACTGCACATTTATTACCTTCTTTCCAAAGGAAACTTTATAAATGGGAATGTTTAGCAACAAAAAGAACAAACCGTCTTTGCTTTTAACTAGGTTCTTATTTTAAGCACAAAGGGGCCCTGCATCCAGACTGCGTGGGTTCAAATCCCACGTTTTCACTTACTGGCTATGTGACCTTGGCCAAGTACTTCAGATCTCTGAGCTCCAATTCCCAAACTGGTGAAATGGAGACAATACCCATGTGTCACAGGATCACTGGTTAGAGTGGGACAAGACTGTGTGAGGACAACTTTGAGACCTGACCCAGCGCTCTACAAGCAGGGAAGCAGCAGGTCTCTCGCTGCAACATGGAGAAATGCCACCTTGGGATGGAACCTGGCTTCCCAAATGGGAGTGTCAGGAACCGTCAGACAAGGCTTAGAAACCTCTTCCCCCCAGCCATGTGGGGGCAAGGAGCTGTAGGGTGGGGGGCCCGGGTCCCATGGGACACAGGCCGGGTCCCACAGCTTCTCCCTGCAGTTGGTGGAAACATTTTCTTAGCATTAAAATGGTTTCCGTGACAACTTTTGTCCCAGTTTCTTAGTATTTGGTACCTGGCCTGGTGGAAGATCAACACTCCCACAGGGCTTATGTGTATAAGTAAATTAGCAGCGGAGAGGGAGTCCAGAAGGTCCCTTTCTGGAAGGTCCAGATACTCAGGAAATTCTGCCCTTGAACTGGAGGTGCCAAAGAAACCACAGGACTCCCCCAGGCTTTACCTCAGATCAGAGACAAGTGCCTGGGAGCCTAACCTTATCTTTCAGAACCTGCCCCTTTAACATAACACCCCACCAAAAAACGCAAAGAAGTGCTGTCAGCAGACAAGAGCAGGATGTCAGCAGACATCAGTGGATCTGTTTGTGATCTGCTCATGAAGCAGGTGCCACTAAGGTTCCTTAAACCTGTTTAAACCTCCCCTGAACTATTTAGATAGCGGATAGGCCCCCGTCTCTTCAAACAGCTGTCACTCAAGAACTGGTCTCTCAGACTGTGGTAGGACTGTTCTACCACACTCTCCTCTCCAGGCCACTGGTGACCCCGGGGAGACACTCCTTGCCAACACTGCTGTCCTTTTAGGATGGAAACTGTTTTCTGAACTTGCCCTGACCCTGTAAGGAAATACCCACAGTTCTAATCCCAGGTCTGCCACTTGGCTGCTCTGTGATCCTGAGTCTTAATTGCTCAGTATCCACTTTCTCAACTACAGAAAGTCACTGGGACTTGTAGCTCAGAACCTTATCACACTAAGTGATAAAAACAGATGAAAACGGTGCCTACTGGTGCTTGGTACTCGGTCAACACTCAATGATACCTGATTCTGATTCAGGCCAGCTGTCCCGCTGTGGTTACCCAGAGGGGCTGAGGGAACACTGCCGCCATCCTGCCAACCTTATCAACCGGGAGGCCGAGGGGACACCTGTTTAGAAGCTGTGCCTCTCTGGCAATTGTGGCTACTCACTAGACTAACCCAGAGAAAGCTGAGGTGGCACCAAGAGGTCACTAGTTCCCTCGGCACGTACTTACACAATGCCCTGACCCAAGCCCAAGGGCTGCAAGGGGTAATAAAAACAGCCTATGCTGCCAAGGAGCTCAGCAGAGACAATACCATGTGCCAAGTGCTAGGAAGAGGGTGAGCACGGCCACTATGGGAGCCCACAGGACACTTGGCCTCTTGGGGGCTCAGGGACCTAGAGTACATACAGCAGTGCTCAGGGATGGGAAAGGCAAGCAGGCGGAGAGAAGAGCTTGTATAAAGGCTCAGGACAAGGGAGGGGGCACGTGGGACCCACGGGCAACAATCAGTTTGGTCACACAGGGGAGGGGAGAAAAGAGGCTGGAGAAACTGGCCGGCACCAGAGCACTCAGCATGTTGTTGCTGGCCTCCCCACAAGTGGCTCAGCCTGTGTTAAGGAAGCCTGTGTTCTTTTAGAACCCGAGGATGGCGACCTCTTCCCGGCCCCATCTTGCAGGGTGGCTCAGACAAGGCAGACGCTGTGAGTGAGTGAGAGAGCACTAAAGAGCCGTTAGGGTTCTGTTGTGGAGACAAGCAGGAACACAAGCAAAGGCGTACTGCTCCATCCACACTGTCCGGTGGGATGAGACACACCCCACATGCACCCTGCAGCCAAAGAATGAGCACGGCTACAATCCAGCTAAAAACTCAGGATAACATGCTGCTCTGACTACTGTTTTTAATTGAGGAAATCAAGCTGAACATACAAGAAGCCTGTACACACTGGCATACAGAAATATATAAGCTGCTGCATAGAATTCTTACTCCAAAACAACACAATGCGAATGAGGTCTCGCCTGCAATGGGGGCTGGCAAGGAAGAGGGAGAGTTTTCTAACCGGGGTGGACGGTGGAGTGAAATGCAAAGTGGGAAGATATAACCAGAGAACACAGAACAACGTGCCATCACGCACAGACTCTGACCTGGAGGGTGGTTAATTTGCACTTGTACTTGGCTGCGGCTGTTCCTGCTGCTGCTCTTTCGGCTTCTTCTTCTTCTTCTTCTTCTTCTTCTGTCTGGCCAGGCAGCTCAAAGCAGACTCACCACTTCTCGGGGCAGCCATGAGTGTGGGCAGCCTGCCAGACTGAGTCGGATACTTGGTTTTCAGGTCATCTGTGAACAGCGGCTGGGCGAGTAAATGGCGCAGCTCCTTCTTCAGGACCTTCATCTGCTTTTGTCTCCTGCGCTCTTCATGTTGGTCAGTTTTTCTTCCTTAAAACACAATATAAACCATCATATTTATTGTGATTTGTAGAAGCATTTTGTTTCCTTGATGGATACTTGTGATAAAAAATGTTTTAGAACTCTTGGGGAAGCAAGGCTCAAAACCTCTACAGAAGCTAGTGCTGGCTAACTCCCAACATAGTTTAAGAGGGATGCTCAGGGCCGTGTCTTCACTCCTCAAAAAAAAGCCTCTAAGACAGGAGTCGTCTCCATTTTATAGTCGAGGTCACTTGCTTGAAGGTCACAGAGCTACCCAACTAGCTGTCAAACTGAGATTTAAACCCAAGTTTCCTGACTTGAAGACCAATTTTCTTCCTGTGACTGTTGTGACTCACAGCTACAGCACCTCCAGGAGACCGTGTGCAGCCCAGCTCTCCTGCACCTCACCACTGGCACGGACGGCACCTGTGGGGCCGCCATGGCCAAGGGCTCCACACCAGCCTTCGTTCAGGAAGGGAAGCCAGGGCCTAACCGTCAACAGCCCAAGCCCGGGCTAACAGCAGGAACAGCTCCTTGTCACCAAGCCCACTGATTTGGTTCCCAGCTTCCATACTGAGCAGACAGTTTAAGTCAGCCTCCTAACCTGTTGGCTCTGGCACCGAGAAAGCCAACGCCTCAGCTGAGCTGCCCACTTGTGGGATGGAAAGAACACTGGATCTAACTCTGGTGCTGTCAGTTCTAGATTTGGTTCTCCCACTTCTTAGACTCCAGAGCTTTCCTAGAGCAGGGACCACAGAGATTCATCCCTGGATCCTTAGGCTCTTGCCCACATTCAGAGCAGGGGCTCAAGAAAGGCCCAGTAGTAGAGCTGTTTCCCTGTGCAAATGGCTCCTTTTCCGTGAGCCTCTAGTTTCCATGTGTATAAGGACAGTAATTCCTGCTGTTTTATGTTCTGAAACCATGAAGCTCAGAAGAGATGACGAACAGTATAACAATACATAGCAATATGTAACAATAATGATCACAAACAACTTAAAATGTTATCAGATACTTTCTATTTGCTAGACACTGTTCTAGGCACTTTATACTCGAAAACTCAAGCCATCTTTGCAATAGGTCCACGAGGTAGGAACTTTATGACCTGCATGTTATAAATGAGGACAGCCTAAATACAAAAGAGATTAAGGAACTCAACCTGGTCACACAGCCAATGAAGAGAACGGACGAGCACGGGCTGCCAGGCCACAGAGCCCACCGAACACTGCCCTTCCACATGGAGGAGGCAGCTCAAGGCTCCAGACAAGTAAGACACGGGGAACAAAGGCCAAGGGCTATAGGCTCATCTGGGACTAAAGCCTGTGGCAAAGAAGGAAAAGGCATCTTGCTGATTTTAAAAAGACCCATGGTTGTGAGGAGGTTCCAACTGGACAAAAGTTGAAAGGAAAAATGCTAAACGTATCCTTCGAGTCCCAGCCAGCCCACTCACCCTTATACATCTCTTCTTCCAGCTCAATCTCCAGGGCAGCTGCTGCCTGCTCGATCCAAGAGTTGTGCAGACATGCCTGGAAGTTCCGATATTCAGCTTTCTCAATCTGTCGAGCTAAATGTATTCGTTCCTGGGGGAAAGGAGTAGAGAGTTCATTTGACAGAGGGTTCAGCCTCTGGGAAGCAAAGGCTCATAGAAGTTGTGTTTTTCAAAAAAGCTCCTCAGATCAGCTCCCATTAAAATGAATTTGTTCTGGTTCCTGACAAGAGCCAGCTTTCCGAACCACCAACCTGAATAGCTGCACCTGGTGGAAGCCCACCTCAGCCAGACTGCCAATCTCCAGGTGTCCAAAGGGAACTCTCTTCCCCAGACACCACCAATAGCTCTCAAGCTGACCTGGGACCCTGAAACACCCCAAGAGCCCTGAGTTAGGGCCCCACGGTGACTGATCACAGGGACAACAAACTCTCAGAACTGCCTTCTCTCTTCTACGTCACCCTTTGCCAAAAACATTTCAACTCTCCTGCTCGTCAGTGTTGAGGCCCAACCACAAGGACAGGAAACACAGGCAAAATGGGAGAGACGCTGTGGTGTGGGGGAGGGAGCCACAGGAAGCCAGGGCGCTCCCAACCCTCCTAAGGGGGTCCTGTCATCCTCTCCCTCCCAAGCTTGCCCCCCACTGTATTTCCCCACACAGCTAGCATTCCTTTCCAGAGGAGCCAACAGTCCTTGAACTCTTCCATGCTTTTGCACCCTCAGTTCCTGGAATTCTGTCTGCTCTCCACATGCAAGAGGCTTGGAGAAAACTCCTCTCCTACCAGTATAACCATAACGGCCACCAGTGCCATGGTTTTCCGTTTGTACCTAAACCAACACAGGCTCAGCCTGCCTCACAAGCCAGTGGACCTCTATGGAAGAAAAGCCAGCCCACTCTGCTACCTGACACACGATGGCCCACAGTTAGCAGCACCTACTCAGCTGAATGCTTGCAGAGTCAAAATGTAAAATCCCAAAGGTAGGAACTACTGGCATTTGCTTCAGGAATGTGACAAACCTTCAGTACACGCCTCAGCAAGACAAGCTGACCTTACTTCCTACAACCACTGGCTGTGATGTCCAGGCAGCCACCCTCATGGTCCTCGTCCAGGAGAGGCGGGGCGTGGCGGAGGCTCCAGGGGGCAGGCAGTGAGGGCAGGGCTCAGGAAGAAAACTCCCCATATTTCTGGCCACTCATCTCTCTCTCTCTTGTACACAGCCAGTGCCCCCATTTCTTTAACAAATCTGCTCAGTTAGCTGTTGGCAGAACCATTACTGTTTCGGAGGTGTCTCTTGCCAGAGCCTCACAGCAAGGTGAGGGCACAGCATGATCCCTTCCCTCATCAGCACTGGGTTTTTAAATTTTATTTTTACCTTGACTGCATCCATATACTTTGTCTGCACAGGAAACAGTGGGATGTCCTCATCTTTCTTGAGGGTTTTGTAAATCTTCTTAAAGTTGATCACATCCTCAGGCCCAATCAGCATCAGACTGAGGCCTTCATTGGTGGCACGAGCAGTTCGGCCACTTCGGTGGACATAGATCTCCGAGGTGCGAGGAACCTGCCAAAGGCGGAACCAAGAAGTCAGTGTGTGGTCATCCCCCAACATGCTCTTGCCCCCAGGGCCAGCAAGCCAGTGCTGGCCCTTCCTCCCTCCCAGCCAGGCAGCAGAAACCTCTCCAGCAGTGTGGACAGGTCCAGAACCTTCTCCCTTAGTCCTAAATCTTCACTGTGCGGAGTGTGCCTTCCCATGCCCCCTGCTCTGCCCTCCCCTGCTCCCAGGCCCTCATGACCACTCAACAGAACAACAGTCACTTCTTATTTCGTCTCTAGTCCTCCCCACTCTCCCTGACCCAACCCAAAACTGCTACTGTAATCTTCCACAGTCAAAGCTCTGACCATAATTCCCACTCTAACTAAAGAAACTCTGCTGGTTCTTCACTAACTCTACATGAATGATTGAACATGGTAATCAGAACCAACATTTACCGAGCAGTTACCAGGGGCCAGGCAATTCTAAGCATCGGCATGTATTACCCCACTTATTCCTCACAAACAGTAACACAAAATAGACGCTTTCGTGATTTTCCATATTAGAGACCGGGAAACGGAAACACACAGATGTTAAGCAATACCCCCTAATAAATAGCGGAATTAAATAGTAGAGCCAGGATTTAAACCACAGCAGTCCAGCTTCAAAGTCCATTCTGACCTCTGGGCTCCACTGCCTCCGTGCTAATATATACGGACATGTCATCCCCAGGTGTGGCATGGGTGCAGACAATCCCTCCCCAACTCCTGTGGCACACACCACTAATCAGGAACAGTCTTCTCCACTGAGGCCAGATAACACGGTCATTTCCAATGCAGCTCTCAGCACCACTATGAACTGTTCATAATGGTGCCAGAAATGAGGTCTATTAGCCATTCTTCACTTTCTTCTCCCAACCTACCCCGCCCCACACACTCATGGCCAACTGCCCACTTCCCATGTTCTATCCTCCTCCCACCTCTACATACCCAGATCCTCCCTATCCTTAAATGCAAAGCATCTTTTAGAAAGTTCGCTCCAACCTCCCAAACTAGAAGTTACCTTTTTCTCCCATTATATTTTACAACTTTCTAATACCTTCTGCATTAAATTACGGCTATGATCACCGAATCTCCTCTAGTGGATGTGATACTTCTCTGGGGCCAGGACTGTGTTTTGTTCATCTGAGTATCTCCCACAAAGACTGACTCAGCCTCTTTCCCCAAAAAAGAGGATGAAGAAAGATTTGCTAAACTGAATTGGCAGTCTGAAAGACTTTTTATTTTTATTTATTTTTTTAAATGTTTTTATTTTTGAAAGACAGAGACGGCGTGAGGAGGGGAGGGTCAGAGAGAGAGACACAGAATCTGAAGCAGGCTCCAGGCTCTGAGCTGTGAGCACAGAGCCCAATGCAGGGCTCGAACCCACGAACTGTGAGATCATGACCTGAGCCAAAGTCAGACACCCAATCAACTGAGACACCCAGGTGCCCCTGAAAGACTTTTTAAAGCATGAAGAATTAGAAAGGAGAAATAGTAATGCCAGATAGCTACCATTTACTGAGTACTTAGCACCATGGTAGGTGCTTCATCAGCAGGAGCCCATTTAATTCTCATCATCACCCTAGGGGTTCAGCAGCATTATGACTGCCAGTTTACCAACAAAGACACTGAAACCAGAGATGCTAAGCAACATGCAAAGTTAACCAGCTATGAGGCAGGCCACAAGCATTCAAACCCTGCAAGTGTGGTTCTGGAGCCCGTATTCCTAACCACCACTCCATGCTAATGTATGCCAGGTGCATGTACTAATATTAATGTCAGTATCAATAACAGCTAACATTTAGTAAGTGCTTAGGGTGTGCCCTGTGTTTTTCTAAGCTCTCCACACATAATTACTTCATTTACTTTAGCAAGAACTTAGAAAGGTAGACACTATAAAAACTTCTTTTTAACCAATAAAAACACAAGGTATAAATCAAGCTCAAGGTTACACGGCTGGGACTGAAGCCCAGGCAGGTCTTAGCCACCACACTCTTCTACTTCTCTATACCAGGATAGCCAGTTTATATGCCACAATGCCCATTCCATGGAAGAAAATAATCCTCTAACTTGCCAATATCAATTAGTTTGCCCAAATCAGAGAGAGGGACTATGTGACATCAGAAATGCCAAGAGGTTTTTTACGAATAAATCTCACAAACTCTTGAATACGGAGAACAAACTGACAGTTGATGGGGGGTAGAGCAGGGGAGAAGGGAAATGGGCGATGGGCACTTGTTGGGATGAGCACTGGGTAGTGTATGTAAGCAATGAATCACAAGAATCTACCCTAAAAACCACACTATATACACTGTAGAACACTGTAAGTTAGCTAAGTTGACAATAAATTATATATTTAAAGAAAAAATTTAAATTATATATTTAAAAAAAAAAATTATATATTTATACTCTGCTGCATGAGGCCTTTGGACCAACAATTCCTCCCTCTTTCTCCCTCCCCGAAACTTCGCTTAAGAGATTCCCCATTCAATACAACAAATTCTCTAATGCCCCTACCTGGTAGTGGATGACATGTTGGACTTTAGGAATATCCAGGCCCCGAGCTGCCACATCTGTTGCCAGGAGAACACAGCTGTGGTGGAGACAAAGCTCATTAATAATAACTAACAGCTATCATTAATCAAATTCTTACCACCTGCTAAATACACTAGATGAAGAAACTGAGGCTCAGAGAGATTAACTTCCCAAGGCACAAACACAGCTATTCACTTGTGAAGCCAGGATCCACAGGAGTCTCACTGACCGCAATCAACAAGCCACACACAGCAATAAAGACTACCTCTAGTAACTCAAATGAGGCCATGCATATTCTAGGTCAGTGACCTCATCTGCTATCACCCTCCCACTTACTTCCCTGCAGTCACATAGACACACTCGCTTTCCTTCAAACGTGCCCAACATGCTCTGGCCTCTAAGCCTTTGTACTTGCTACACCTTAGGCCTTATAAGGTCTTCTTCAGATTTTCAGGCTTCATTGCTCTGTCCACACTCTGCTACAATCCTTCTCAGAGAAACCTCCCTGACCATACCCCACAGTCTGCACAACTTTGCTCCTTAGCACTCAACGCCACCTGACAAACTACATACTTGCTTTTCAATTTATCATGTCCCTCCACTGGAATGTAAACCCCACAAGAGCAAGGATTTTGCACTATTCACTGTTCCATTTCCTAGAACAGTGCCTGGTTCATAGTAAGCATGAGATAATTTCACTGGGCTATAGTTCAAAGAAAGTCCAAAGCACTTGGGGTATGTCTTCAAAACTTAAGATTCTGGGCTTTTCAGAATCCCCACTCCCTATAGCTCCAAGGTAAGGCTCAAGAATGTGATGCAAATCAAAGTTTATAAAACGTTAAACCACGGCTCTAAGTCAAGGGCAGCAACTTTTCCTGTAAAGTGCCAGAGGGTTAAGTTACTTTGGGTTTTGCAAGAGAGTGTCTCTTTGAAACTACTCAACTTTTGCTGTTCTCTGTGAGAAAGCAGCCATAGAAAATACATAAATGGCCTTACTGTGTTCCAATAAAACTGTACTTATAAAACCGAACAGTGAGCCAGATTTCATCCACGGGCCATAGTTTCCTAATCTCTGATCAAGTAAACCACTAAATTCTATATAGCAACATTCCAAGGAAGGTAAACCAGACACTTGTTCTAGAAACTAATCACTGTGTAACCCGACAAAACACTGTGCAAAAGTCAATCAATCTAGACTCAGCCTCAACTTCACAGGCCCTTATCCTGACGACATGCACACAGCTGTCTGAGCATCAGTCTGGCCCCAAGAGATGCACAATGACAGCACAGTAGGACACACAGCATGCGCTCTGGGTCCGACAGGCTTGCCTGAGGCCCCGCTCTGTCACTTTCAGGATGAGAAACTTTGGGCAAGCTGATTAGCTTTCCCAGATCTTACTTTTTTCAATCTGTAATATGAAAATAATGATAGTAAATGACACATAGTAAGTATTAAGGCTAACATTCAGCAAGTGCACACTGTGGGCGAGACATGGTTCTAAATACTTTATATGTATAAATTCCCTTAACCTATGTAACAACCTCTCAATTAGCTTCTATTATTATACCATTATGCTAATTATGAGACAAGTGAAACACAACTGAAGTAATTTGGTCAGCCGGAAATGGCACAAAGTCTTGATCTCAAGCAATCTGGTTCCAGTCTCTTTTAACCCACGAATCTATTCTGCTCCTTCTCAAGGATGTTCAAATTCAATGAATGTGATAATGTATCCAAAATGCCAGCATAATACTTACTCTATTAAGTGTCTGATAACAATTGGTATTAATCATCACCATCACTCACTATTTTTTGAGAGACAGCAGGAGCAGGGGAGGAGCAGAGAGAGAGGCAGAGAGAACATCTTAAGCAGGCTCCAGGCTTGATCCCACAACTGTGACATCATTACCTGAGCCAAAATCAAGAGCTTAACGGACTGAGCCACCCAGGCACCCCTATCATTACTCGCTGTTAAGAAAGTTTCTATCGGACAGTATTAGCAACCAAATGCGTTAGTGAGAGTAGTCCTGCTTCACGATGTGCAGAGGAGGGCTACCTTCTACTGAGAAGGCCTCCGTGTCAGAAGGTACCTTCCCGCCCTCTCGCACCATCCTGGCAGCCTTGCCCTAATGGCCAGAGCCTGGGCTCTGGGTACAGGCCTCACTTACTCTTCCAGACGGGCAAACTGCTCCAGGTTTCTGAGCCTCTGCTTCTGGTGCATGCAGGCGTGCAGGGTCAGTGGCATGATATCTAGGACTTTGAGGAGCCCAGAGAGGCGTTTGATGCAGGAGATGCTGTTGGCAAACACCAAGGTGCGGCCTGGGTACTGCATCAGGAAGTAGTACAGATAAAAGTCTTTCTCGTCAGCCTCACAGTGAATCTTGGTCTCTGTCAGTGTCTCTACCGTGGCCTCATTTCTGGTGAGATCAATGACCTTGGGTTTGCCCCTCATGCCAATCTTCTGCACGAGGAGATCAAGTTTGGCAGTTTTGTCAATTTTCTTCGTGTGCTTCTTATGAAGGATTCGAGCAGGAGCTTGATGTACCAGGGTCAGTGTGGCAGAAAAAATAAGCGTCTGTCTCTTTGGATTATATTGGGAGTCACTGAGCATCTCCAGCAGCTGTGAGAGCTCGGCAAAGTGGCCCTTCTCAACCATCCGATCAGCCTCATCGACCACCAGGCACCTGCAGATCCAGACACACCCACATAACCTGGTCAATAGCAGGAGTCATTTATAGCACCCTCAACTGCCATCCCAACCCTCAACACAGACACACACACATACCACCACCTCCAGGGACTCAATTAGTCTCCCTCATGCACGCTTGGTTTTCTAAAGGCCAAAGTCTGGCTGATATGACGCTGGGGCACTTAGTGATGAGGAGACGGTATTGCATATATTACCATGCTACCTCAGGCCCGCTTACCGTCACCTACCTGAGCTGCTTAAGATTGCTCAAATGAGGGTGTTTTTCTTTAATTAGCTCCCACAACCGGCCTGGAGTGGCGATCACAATCTCTGGCTGGCGGTTCAGCATCCTCTGCTGTTTCTGCGTAGACATTCCACCAACCAAAATAGCAGTTTTAATTCCTATGGTACACAAAATATAACAGACCCTGTTATTCAGTCTGGCTGCTTATTTTCTGCCATGGCTGACACAGGTGCTCCCAGAGTAGCAGAGGCAATCAGTCACCAGGACAGCTACCCTCTCCTGCAGGGGGCACTAAAAGAGTGGGCCTGACCAAACCGGGCCTGTCACTCCTAGAAGGCACATCAAGTCTCCTATGATCTAGGCCTCGCCGGCTTCCCTCCCCTCTATCAACAACGGTAGACCTGGAATCGAACGTAGGCATGTTTACATCCAAAGTTGCTGGAAAACTGAGCAGCATTCACAATGCTGGGAATGTCGTCACTCTGCAGCTGTCACGCACCTCCCTAGGAAGCCCTGCCCATCCCCCTCAACTACACTTAATCTGAACCTCCTCTAACAGCCTACTGTTCTGTTCTCGTCTCTCGTGGAGGACTTCTCAAGGTACCAACGTGGAAAGAACTTACACAGGGTCATGCAGGCAAAGTGCTTAGCAAAGTGCCTGGCACAGTAAGAGCTCGGTAAGTAACTGCCGCTTTTACTATAAAGTTAAAATTCACACTGTGCAGCCCATCTCAAAAGGAGTGAGCTCTAATGCCCTAAGGCAGAGGTTGGCAAACTTGTTCTTAAAGGGTCAAAAACATTTTGGCCTAGTGAGTTAAGCGGCCTTTCCTTCTTTCTGCCTTGACAGTGCAAAAGCAGCCAGGGACATAATGTAAACAAATGGGTGTGGCTGCACTTTATTTACAAAAAGAGTTAGTTTGCCCACCTCTGTCCTAAGCATCCCCATATCTGATAAATGACTAATTTCCTATGCATCTAGAATGACATTAGCTATGTGTCATCCTTGGAAAATCGACAGAGGTCCCTCGATTTCTGTAAGGCTTAATTCTCTGGCAGTGAGAAAGATTTCCCTGAAGGGAAGGAGCCATAGCTCGTTCACCTTGCCACCCCAGCACCTAGGATCTTCTCAGGGAACATTTATTATATGGAATTAAACGAACCTCACCTGTAAACTTGGCCACGGCATCAATATGTTGCTTGACCTGGACAGCGAGCTCCCTAGTGGGAGTCAGAACCAGTCCCAGTAGAGGACGCTTTGGATGTGCTTTACAGGTGGCAATTTTGCCAACCAATTCCTGCTGTAACCTTCCAGTCTGCTCTTCATCAAGCTTTTCCTCTTTGTCTTCGTCCTGCTTGGGGATGGCCTTCTCCCTGATCAGGGAAGATGGTCCTTCACCAGCATCATCATTGCAGAGGGGCAGCACCTGCTCTGACATGGCAGCTCCAGCCTTGACCTTGCTGGGTGGTGCGCTAGCCTTCACTCCAGCGTCACCGGGCAGGGCTTGCCCCTCAATTCCAATCTCATCAGGCAAAACTCCAGCCTCGGTTCCAGCCTCGGTTCCAGCCTCGCCAGGGACTGCTCCTGGGTCCCTCAGAGCCGGAGGAGGCTTCTTTCTCACCTGCCACTGCAGTACCGCATGGATCATCGGAATAGCAAAGGCAAGAGTTTTTCCACTTCCTTAGAAGAAAAACAAGAACAAAAACAGTATGAATCCACAAATGTACATACTCTTTCTCTGGGGCTCTTTCTTTTACACACGAAAATAGCCAAGAGCCAGGCTGACCAACCCAAAGCTCCTCCACCCGGCACACCACCCCCTACAGCACTGCAGCCAGAGGGCATCTGTAATTAAAAGCCCAAGAAGTCTGGGAGACTAGCCCTGAGGTATCAGGTCAACAATGGGAACTACGTGCAAAGTCCACACACTGAAACTCTGAACAGATAGACAAGTTTTGTGTGTGAGAGTTGCCACTGTTGTGAAGAAACACCACCACATTAGGGTGTGAGGAATGGAAATCTATATATAGTTTTTCAAGACCTTTGATGAACAAGATGGGAGTAGAAGACAATTTTTTTAGTTTTTGAGAAAATTTTAAATCAGCACACTTTTATCTATGATTGAACATTTTCAAACTGACCTTTGAATGTATATGAAGCCCAAATTCACATCCCCCAAGTGGTTAATACAAACCAACAAGACACCTCAGGTTGAGAATGTAAAGCAGTTCCAAAGTTATAATGCCCCGAGCAAAAGCAAGTAAGTGATCTCTGGAGGAAGAAACCTTTATCATAAGCCTCAAAGAATTCTCTCTAGTAATTTTCAGAGGAAAATGAGCAGCTCTCAGTTAAAAAAAAATAACTCACAAGAAAACAAGGTATACTATGATTAAGAATTGTTAAGAGAGCAAAAAGATGCATAATGCTTCAGATAAAATGGCACTTTTCATCAGAAGCCATCAAAGCTAGAAGACACTATTACATCTTTACTTGAACACCTGAAAAAAAAAATCTGACAATGTAGAACTCTACACTTAGCAAAAGCCTTTCAAAACAAATGCAAAATAAAGACATTTTGGCACATAAAAGCTGACTAACTGATCATCACCAGGACCTGAACTACTGGTGCTAAAGGGAGTCTTCCATGCAAAAGATGCTACTGGATGAAATTCCAGATCTGTACAAAGGAAGAGCACCAAAAATAGTGATGGTAACATGGGTAAATATGAAAGATGTCTTTTTCTTATTTAAACATATTATTTAAGTTTAAACCTATTTAAACTTAAAACTATTACACATAAAAATGTACTTTGGATTTCTAATAAATATAAAGTATAAAACAGAAAGCACAAAAGAGAGGAGAAATGGAAATATATTTTTGTAGGATTCTTACAATAGATATAAAATAGTATACTGTTACTTAAAGGAAGACCATAACATATTAAAGATATACTATGAATACAAAAGCAACCACTAAAAGGACATAACAGAGTTACAGCTAATAATAAAAGATATAAAATGTAATCACAAAAAATATTCAATCCAAAAGAGGAAAGAGAGAATAGCAAAGAGCAAAACATATTACAACCTAACCATTATCAATAATCAAATTAAATATAAATAACCTCAATAAATAAGACTGTCAGAATGACTGAACAGCAAGATCCAAGTATATGCTGTCTACAAGAATGCCATTTTGTTTTTTTCCTTACAAGTCTCAGTTTAATCTAAAGCATATTTTATAAAGATGAAAAACCAGATGAAGAGGTACATAGGGCAAGGTCTGGAAGGGTCTTGAGTGCAAGGGCTTCTGTCTTTCTGGAATGGGGGTGCACCACCCTCCCAGCAAACGGATGTGTTCACCAACCCAGAAGCTCCAAGAAACCCACTTTAAATACAAAGACAAGGTTAAAAGTACAAGTATGAGGGATGCCTGGCCAGCTCAGTTGGTACACGTGACTCATTCTCAGGGCTTATAAATTCAAGCCATACATTGGGTGTAGAGATTACTTAAACATGAAATCTTTAAAAAAAAAATTACAAGTATGAAAAAAACCACACCATGCTAACATTAATCAAAATAAAGCTGGAAAAGGTACATTAATATGAGATAGAGAAGATTTTAGAAAAAAGAAGACTGGGGATAAAGAGGGGCATTTCATAATGAAAGGAATAAATTCACTTAGAGGATATAACAGTCCTAAACATTTAAACACAAGTACAACAGAGCTTCAAAAGACAGGAAACAAAAACTAATGGAAGCGCAAAGAAAATTATCACTCAAGAAAAAATACGTAACACAAATATTTTAATATATTAAAGCAATTAACTTTGTAGTTAAAACCCATCCTACTAATTAATGGGGTGCCTGAGGGGCTCAGTCGGTTAAGCATCCGACTTCAGCTCAGGTCATGATCTCATGGTTCGTATGTCGGGCTCTGTGCTGACAGCCAGCTCAGAGCCTGGAGCCTGTTTCAGATTCTGTGTCTCCCTCTCTCTCTGACCCTCTCTCTCAGAAATAAATAAAACATTTAAAAAAATAAACAAAACCTATCCTACTAAAAGTGCAAGCGCAGATAAATTCTGCTAAATAAGGAAGAAAAAAATACCAATTCTATATAAACTTTCAGAAAATAGAGAATACTCAAGTCATTCTGAGGCTTGAATTCCTCTGACTCCAAATACAAAGGCATTATAAGAAAACTACAAATATCTCATGAAAAGAAATTCAAAACTTATCAACAAAATTTTAGCAAATAAAATACAACAATATATAAATGGAATAATACACTGTGACCAAGTTTGGTTTATCCCAGGTATGTAAGTTTAGATTAGTATTTGAAAATCAGTGTACTTCACCATTATGAACAGACTCAAAATTAAAAACCACTTATCTTCTTTTTTTAATGTTTACTTATTTTGAGAGAGAGTGCAGGCAGGGGAGAGGCAGAGGGAGAGAGAAAGAGTCTCAAGCAGGCTCTGTGCTCAGAGCAGGGCTCAGTCCCACAACTGCAGGATCATGACCTGAGCCGAAATCAAGTGTTGGACGCCCAACTGACGGAGCCACCCAGGTGCCCCAAAAAAATGAGCTGTCTTAATAAACGTGGAAAGAGCATTTCAAAAAACCCAACAAGCATAAGCATTCCTAATAAAAACGTTCAGCAAAGTAGGAGCTGATTCTCTGTCCGATAAAGGGCAACTAAAACTAATTGTACTGGAGATTTCAGTCATAGCGATAAGACAAAAATAAACAAAAGGCATGTAGGCTGAACGATAATACCATCTTTGCAGAAAATCTGATGTAATCTTCAAGAAGCTACTTAGTACCAAGTTAGAGGATACAAGTCAATATACAAAGACATTATATTTCTATTTGTTAGCAACAATCTGAAGTAGAAAATTTTAAGTTACCATTTACAACAGCATCAGGGGCGCCTGGGGGGCTGAGTCCGTTGAGTGTCTAACTTTGGCTCAGGTCATGATCTTGTGACTTGTGGGTTCAAGCCCCGTGTCAGGCTCTGTGCTGACAGCTCAGAGCCTGGACTGGAGCTTGCTTCAGATTCTGTGTCTTGCTCCCTCTCTGTCCCTCCCCTGCTTGCACTCTCTTTCTCTCGAATAAACATTAACGGGCAAGAGAACTGACAAGATGCCACCAAGGAATATGGGTAACAAACAGGCATCTGAAAAGATGCTCAACGACTCACTAGGGGAAAGAACACTAAAATTTTTAAAGTCTAAAATAAAATTAAAGACTGTACATACCAAGTATTGGCAAAGACATGGACCAATTCAAACTCTAATAACTTGGTGGGTTTGTAAAATGCTATAATCACTTTGGAAAACTCCTAAAAAGTTACATTTACCATAAGGTCTAGCCATTTCACAGGTATTTACCCAACAGAAATCAAAGCATATATACATACAGGAATAATACACCAATATCTATGATAGTGTTTAAAAATATTTATCTATTTTGGGGGGAGAGAGAGGGAAAGAGAGAGAGAGAAATGTGCACAGGCAGGGGAGGGGCAGACAGAGAGAGACAGAGGATCCAAAGCAGGCTCTGTGCTGACAGCAGAGAGCTCAATACAGGGCTAGAACTCACAAACCGTGAGATCATGACCCAAGCCAAAATCAAGAGTCAGATGCATAACTGATTGAGCCACCAAGGCGCCCCTACAATAGTTTTATCTGTAACAGCCCAAAACTAGAAAGAACAAAAATACCCATCAATGGATAACCAAACCATGCTTTATCCATATACTGTTATATTACTCATCAATAGAAAGGAATGAACGCCTGGTACTTGTAACATGGTTGAGTCTCAAAACACCCACCTCCTCCCAAAAGTCCATATTGTAGGATTCCGTTATATAAAATTCTTGAAAACACAAACTAATCTATAGTGATAGAAAGCATATCTGGGAATGAACAAGAAGCAGGGCCCAGGAAAGGAGATTATTGAAAGAGCCCAAACCATCTTTTGGGGGTGATGGAAACATTCATTATCTGTACGGGCAGCAGTTTGTTCACAGCCCCAAAGGTCTTTGTGAATCTTGGACCCACAGAGTCACAGCATGCCACAGGGATAACTGGGTAGGAGCTGTGGTAAGAATCCAAATGTCAGGGTTTAGTGACAGTGGGTTGCACAACCTTGCCTCTGCTTCCAGAAATGCGCTTCCAGGCCTCTGCGCATAACAAGGCAGTATAGCAGAATGCCTAATAGCACACAGACCTTGTCTAGAATCCAGGTACCCCCACTTCCAGCTGTGCAGTTTTAGGGAGACTGTCCTCCATGAGGCTGAGTTTCCTCATCAGTAAGATGAGGATAATAATGCAACCTATCTCAGGGTGGTTGTGAGAACTGAGTTCATCAATATAATGCACTTAACACAGTGTGTGATACATCACGTCTAAGAAAATGTTTCAAATTGTTATTATTATTTCCATTTCCCTGAGGCTTCCTTACTCTTCCATCTATGTGACTCTCATACAGGACCTCACCTATAGTGTCCCGACCACTCGTTCCAGAAATCCAAGGCATCAAGTGTCCAGATGGTCTAGTTCTGTGCCATACAAAAGAATAGCCACTAGCCATGTATGGCTATTGAGCCCTTAAAATGAGATTACTCTATAATATATTGATTTTTATTTTATCTATCTATCTATCTTGAGAGACAGAGTGAGCATGAGCAGAGGAAGGCAGAGAGAGACAGAGAGAGAACCCCAAGCAGGTTCCATGCTGTCAGCAGAGAGCCTGATGTGGGGCTTGACCTCACAACTGCAAGATCATTACCTGAGCCAAAACCAAGTGTCAGATGCTTAACCGACTGAGCCACTCAGGCGCCCCATAATGTGATTACTCTAAACTGATGTGCTGCAAGCTCAAAATGTCAGATTTTGAAAACTCAGGATAAAAATAAGAATATAAAATATCTCAGGAATTTTACAATTGATTACATTAACTGAAATATATTTTAAAATTAATTTTTATCTGTTTCTTTTTACCTTTTTAAAATATGGCACCTAAGAAATTTAAAACTACATATGTGGCTCACAATACATGTACATTTCTTTTGGTTACTTCAGGCCTAGTTGGACTTCAGAGTACAAGCTCCGCCCTAAAGTCAGTAATTTAATCTGTTGAGGGCAAGTCAATCTGTCACTGCTTCACGAAGTCTCAGATGGCCCAGGGAATGAGGAACTTTCAGCAAGGCCTAGTCCCAACAGTCACCTCATGCTGACATCTACCCACAAAGTCTACCTAATGGTTATTTACCACACAATCAAATCTTTCCAAGGACATAAACTCACCAAGCTCCCAAAGCACCCCTTTTACCTTTGGACAACTCTTGAGAATTAGACACTTATTTCTTACACTAATAAAGATCTACCTCCCTGGAGGGCTGAGCTTAGCCCGACTACCTCTCTGAGCCACTGAAAAAGGCTCAAGAACAGGAAACAACTACCATTTGCAGATCACTTACAACATACTGTGTAAACTTTACTGTAACTTTACATTTAACCCATTTTGACAAAGTCAAAAACAAAAAACAAAAAAAGTAGGTACTGCTGTTATCTCCATTTTATAATGGGACCTATGGAGGTCAGAAAGATAAAGTGACCTGTCCAGGGTACCAATTACAAAGTGGCAGAATTCTGGGGCGCCTGCGGGGCTCAGTTATTTGAGTGTCTGACTTCAACTCAGGTCATGATCTCACGATCCATGAATTCAAGTCCCACGTTGGGCTCTGTGCTGAGAGCTTAGAGCCTGGAGCCCGTTTCGGATTCTGTGTCTCCTTCTCTGCCCCTCTTCTGCTCATGCTCTGTCTCTCTCTTTCAAAAATAAACAAACGTTTAAAAATTTTTTTTAAAAAGAGCCAGATTCTAACCCAGAGCTGGCTGACTTCTAAACAGCTTCATTCAACACTGCTTTTGCAGTTATATCCCCAAATTCCCCTCTCCCAACCATCCAACCTTTTAACAGCTGCAAGTTCAATCCAAAAGCAATCTTGCCCTGGCAGCTAAGGATGCCCCTACCTGTCTCAGCAGCCCCAAGGATGTCCAGTTTGTCTCGGATGGCAGGTGCCAAGGTCAGAGCTTGGATTGGTGTAGGTGCAGAGAAGCCTAGAAAACTGAGTGCTCGAAGGACTGGCTTGGGTACAAAAAGATCTTTCCAGGCTGTTACATCTGCCTTCTGGTCATGCATTTCAGGCACCCATGTCTTGGCTTTTTTGGGCACCTTTGGAAGAGTACCCTGGGCAGGTGCCAATTTTTTTTTCCCTTTTTTTTTCTTCTTCTTTGGAACAGTCTGGGCTGAGCTTTCCGGTACCATCTCCTCTACCTCCGGATCAGGACAAACTGTGCCACGTCCCTGGGGCTTTGGCTCAGCAGCTCTGACCTCAAACTCCTTCTCAGCACTGGTCCCTCCGGTCTCCATGTCTTTATTCTTCTTCAACTTCATCTTTTTCTTTGAGGAGCTCGACTCTCCTTCCTCCTCTCCTGAGACAGCCTGTGCCTTTCTCTTCTTGGGCTCCTTGGAGAAAAGACTGGAGGAATTCTTGCCAGGGGACACCAACTGGTAATCTGTCAGTTCCTCGAAGCACACCAAGTCATCCATCTGTCCATCCGCAAACATATTTGGGTCAATCTTCACCTTCTTCCATTTTCCCACAACTTTGATTCCCTTCGTCTGAAATTTGCCATAGCTTGGTGGCTTTGGCCTTGATTTTGTTTCCTTCAACTTCATCGTTACTGAAAAAGAAAAGGGAGGAAAGAGTCCATTAAGTTGGCCACTGAGAAGCACACGGTTCAGAGGCAACAGACATTTTCTAAGCCGCATACAGAGTATCAGGCCCCACGAAGTGAGGACACAGAGACAGAGAAGGCGGAGTTAGGAAGAAACATACCAACAGCCGAGGCAGCGCAGCCTGGACCCGAGGGTACCCGGGACACCGAGCAGACACGTGCTGTCTGGTTTGCTATTCAAACCCAATACTTAACTGCTCCTGTGCCTCAGTTCTGCTCAATCCTCCCGGACCACAGGTGTCATCGTCTTTTAAAAAAGGGGAAGGGACTTCATAATATCGAAGTCACAAAATGCTTTATGCAGATAAATAAAATTATGTAGCCCCTGGAGAATAAAACCTGCCACACTCAAGTTATTTTGAAGGCCGAATTAAGAATGAGGTGGCTTGGGGCGCCTGGGTGGCTTAGTCGGTTAAGCGTCCGACTTTCGCTTGCGTCATGATCTCGCGGTGCGTGGGTTCGAGCCCCGCGTCGGGCTCTGTGCTGACTGCCAGCTCAGAGCCTGGAGCCTGTTTCAGTCTGTGACTCCCTCTCTCTCTGACCCTCCCCTGCTCGCGCTGTCTCTCTCTCTCTCTCTCCTAGAAATAAATAAAACATTAAAAAAAAAATCCAAATTCTAATCTTTAAAAAAAAAAAAAAAAGAATGAGGTGGCTTGCGGGGGAGGGGACAGAGGGCCAGCTTTCCGATCCGGACAAGGACCTTTCCCCCTCCTCACGCCTGGCTCCAAGAAGCCAAAACCGCCTATTCCACCCGCCAAGCCTTTGCCCATCCAGCTCTGTCACTACATGTGCAGGGACTTAAGATACATTTTTCAACAGTGGCCGCTTGAGGAGAACTCGATCCATCTTCTCCCTTTCCAAAAAGGCCCAGAAAAAAGGACAGATCCTGGAAGGAAGGCCAAAGGTAAAGCGTAGTTCCAATCCGGACCAGCTCGGGGTCCGTGGTGGGACGTCCCAATCTCCGTGAACCCCAGGGTCCTTCCTCGCCTGTAAGATGGGGATGACGAAGGGGTCTGTCTCGGGGATCGTTACGCCAATGTCAGGTGGCGCGCGTCAGCGGCTGCTGGGCACGACGCCGAGCGTCAGCACGCAAGGAGGCTCCCCCGCCGCACCGGCGACGCCACCACCGCACAGCACCCGGCTTCCACGGCGCCGACGGTGGGGGTGCTCAGGTCCAGCGGGCGAGGTGCGCGGCCCCCGCTGGCGCCTCGCCTCAGGCACGACAGGCACACGAAGCGGACAGGCCGAAGCCACCATCGAGCCTGGACGCCAACGGCAGGGGGCCCCCGGCGCGGGGCCGCCGGCCACCCTCTCCGGGGCCGACAGCCCAGCGGCTTAGACAGACCAGCAGAGTGAAGCCCGGGGGCTAACCCCAGTCCCGCTCTGGCGCCGGTACTGACCGCCTGGAGAAGCCGCCACGGCTCCCTCACACGCCGGCCAAGCGCCCCGCACGCCTCCGTGGCTCTCCTTCAGGGGCAGCGTTGACTGCAGTTCCGGGGCGGGGCTTCCGCTCACGCACGCGTGCGCCCGGCGGCAGGAAGTCCCGCCCCGAGCTAGACGCCGCTACGTGATTCGCTACGGCTGGATCGCGACTTCTGTAGTGCGGGGGCGGGGACAGGGGCGTGGTCTGGGGGCGTGGTCTGGGACGGGGGCGGGGTCTCGGGGTGGTTAGGTTAGGAGGGTAGGTTGGGTCCCGCACGCTGTGCGAGCGAATCCGCTGTGCAGCGTCCAAGCCGGCTCAGTGCAGCTCGTGCACCGGACCGCAAAGTTTCCTTGTATTCTTGGTCTAGTTTTAGTGCGGTGGCTGTCCACGAATGAAGGACCGACTGTGTGCCTGGAGCCTTTTGCAAACGTTTTCACATCTAATTTGCAACCCCAACCAGCCTGGATCAGAAGTGCTGTTTTCTCCAGTTTTTTCGTGCCTTGCCTGTTGCTCACTGAAGGTTAGGCTGGTTGGCCTGCCCCCAAAGCTCATGCTTTAAATCACCAAGCTAAACTGGCTCCTCTGTTATATGCAGAGAAATCAGCTTCACCGTAGGCAATGACCCTTTTTTGATGTGGGCATCAGCACACCACCTGGGAAACATTTCCCGTATGCTGTCTCTGTCTGGTGATCTTGGAAAGTCCTAAAGGAATTCATAAAGTTTAGGTCAAGTGAGCCTCCCCACCCCATCTTGGAGCCACCATGGGACAGATCTTAACTCATTTCTTGAGGAAAATTGCCAAGGTCCCAAGAGGCTGGATGGCATAAAGCCTGTGCCCAAGCGGTCATCTGAAGGAGTCTGATAACTAGAGACTAAGGCTGTCCAGACGGCAGGGTGATGAAGAAGGGCGACATGTCCCTACTATATGGCAGGACAAAGAGTCCTGTCCCCTCTGGGCTCATTACACACCTTGGAGGATTGCAGCATCTTCCTGACTCTGACCCTTGCCTAACAGGGCTGTGTGGTGGGAAAAGGGTCCTCAACAGAAAGAGGCTAGAATTAGGGGGTCCTATGGTGGGGCTTGAGGCCCTTTAGAGGGGTCAAAATGGGGCGTGGTGGAGATTCTCAAGGAGGCCTCTGAAGAACTGACAAAAGCATCTGTATTAGGGTTCTCCAGAGAAATAGACAACAGGATACGTATGTACAGAGAGAAATTTATTTTAAGAAAGTGGCTCACAGTGATTGTGGACGTTTGACATATCTCAACTTAGATAAGGTAGGCCAGCAGGCTGCAGACTCAGAGAAGAGTTCAAAGGCAGCCAACCGGCCAAATCCCTTCTTACTGAAGGGATGCAGTATTTGTTTTAGTAAAGCCTTCAACTGGTTAGATGGAGCCCACCATCACTGTGGAAGCAGTGATGTAGCTTTTCCACAGATTGAAATGCTAATCTAATCCAAAAAGACACCTTCACCGAAACATCTAGATAACGTTTGACCAAATGTCCAGGCACTGTGGCCCATCCCGGTTGGTGTATACAATTAACCATCACAGCATTCTAAGAGAGAAAAGGGTAGTTTTTGTTTGGATGTCCTCCGTGTTGAAGGAGACAACCCTGTGGGCCAGCCGAGAAAGATGAGCAAGCACCAGCTAAGTTAAAGTAGCCTTTTGCCCCTTTATCCCTTACAGTTTTGACCCTGAAGTCACCAAAAGCAGCCTATGGGGAGGAAGTAAAAGAAAAAGAGGTGAGGAGCAGATTACCTCCTCTCTCCCCAGCTCTGTGTTTCAGAGCCTGGATCAGACCTAAGCTGGGAAAAAGGGAGAAGTTATAAATTGGCACGTGAGGGAAATTTTGACATCATGTTAGATGGTGCTTTTGTTTATTCATTATTTTTTCCCACAAGATAACGGGATGTTTTCCCCCCTGATTTTTATGGGTGAGACATTAAAATGGCATTCTTTCTGAGTCCATTTTAGTGAAGGCACAAATACTGAGCATAAAATGATAAGTGCAGGGTTTCCTTGCTTTTTCCAAAGCAGGTTCCTTGGAAAGTGTTAGACCTAGCAAGGAAATTGTCTCAAAACCAGTTTTGTGACACTTAGCTCAAAGCCTACTTCAGAGGTGCCTGGGTGGCTCAGTCGGTTAAGCGTCCGGCTTCAGCTCAAGTCATGATCTCACAGTTTGTGGGTTCGAGCCCCACATCGGGCTCTGTGCTGACAGCTAGCTCACAGCCTGGAGCCTGCTTCAGATTCTGTGTCTCCCTCTCTCTCTGACCCTCCCCTGCTCACGCTGTCTCTCTCTCAGAAATAAGCATTAAAAAAAAAAAAGCCTACTTCAAAGCATAAAAGGATTGAAATTGAAGAGGCTGAGAGAGAGAGAATTTCTTTGCAGAACATTGCTTAAAACTTGTGGCCAAGGTTATGTGAAGTATAATTCAGATTTATAATAAGTTAGTTCAACAAGCATCTCCTTCTTTAGGATTCCCCAAGTGTTCTCTATAGGGTATAGCACTTTCGGCTCTGCATTCAACTGGGAGATTTGCCTTCTTGTCTTATTTCTCCTACGTTACAAGTTCCTCAAGGAATTCCCCTTAGATTCATCTTGGCATGCCCTAAAATGCCTAGTTTGTGTCTAGCTGACTTAGGGAGTCATAGCTGTTTGTTGAATGAATGAATGAATGAATGAATGAGAAAGCGGTTGACCTTTGCTCGAGGACAGGATCCCCCTTCCCACTTTTGTAGTTGAACTCAGCACCAAAAGTGACAATGAGTACTGACCTTGTCACATAGCATCTGTTCATAGTTCATAGCAACTTTATATGTTACAGACCAAAACGAGAAACAACCAAAACGTCCTAAAATAGGTGGATGGTTAAAATGTGGTATGTGGTAATCATTTTATGATATCTACATATACTAAGCCATTATGGTGTACACCTTAAACTTATACAATGTTGTATGTCAATTAAATCTCAATAAAGCTGGGCGGGGGGAACCTATGGTATATCTCTTCAACATTAGAAAGGAATGAACTAGTGGTACACACAACTTGGATGGATCTAAAGAGCATTATGTTGAGTGAAAAAGGCCCATGTGTAAAGGGCATATAACAGAGGTGCCTGGGTGGCTCAGTCGGTTAAGCATCTGACTCTTTTGGTTTCAACTCAGGTCATGATCTCACAGTTCGTGAGTTTGAGCCCCACATGGGGCTTGGTGCTGACAGTGCAGAGCCTGCTTGGGATTCTCTCTCTCTCTCTCTCTCTCTCTCTGCCCCTCCCCTGCTCTCCTTCTCTCTCTCTTTCTCCCTCAAAATAAATAAACTTAGAAAAACTAAAGGGCATATAACAGTCTTGAAGAGACAAAATTATAGGATGGAGAACAGATTAGCGTTTCCCAGAGATTAGGAAGGAGGCCATGGTTAGAGGGCAAGTGTGACTATAAAGGAGTAGCACACTCCTTTGTGGTGATGGAATAGTTCTGTGTCTTGACTGCAACTGTGGTTACACCTGTAATAAAATGATGGCACTCTACACACACCTTCTACCAGTGCAGATTTTCTAGTTTTTAGCTTATGTTATCACTACAGATGATGCAGTCCCTGGGAGAAATTGGGCGAATGGAGCACAGAGCCTCTCTGCACTAGCTATGCAACTCCCTGTAATTCTATAATTACTTCAAAATTTAAAAGTTGAAGAAACTAAATTGCTCACATTGTATTCTTACCAAAAAAAAAAAAAAAAAAGTTTAACCTGAATCTAATCATGAGGAAACAATCAGGCAGATTTAGATTGTGGAATATTCTATTAGATGACTGGCCTCTTTAACAAAGTCTTGGAAAACAAAAGCCTGGGGTGCCGTTTTATTCAACATAGTATTGGAAGTCCTAGGCATCCAAATTGGTAGGGAAGAAGTAAAACTTATCACTATTTGCAGATGACATGATGCTATAAATAAAAAGCCCTAAAGACTCCACCAAAAAACTGTTAGAACCGATAAATGAATTCAGTAGAGCTGCAGGATAGAAAAAATAATATACAGAAATCTGTTACATTTCTATATGGTAACAATGAAGCAATAGAAAGGAAATTAAGAAAATAATTTCATTCATAATTTGCACCAAAAATAATAAAATAGCTAGGAATAAACTTAACCAAAGAGGTGAAAGACCTGTGCTCTGAGAACTATCAACATTAATGAAAGAAGTTAAAGACAACACAAAGAAATGGAAAGACATTCCATGCTCATGGATTGGAAGAATGAAGATTGTTAAAATGTCTGTATTACCCAAAGCAATCTACAGATGTAATGCAATCCCTATCAAAATACCAATAGCATTCTTCTCTGAACTAGAACAAGTAATCTTAAAATTTCTGTGGAACTACAAAAGACCCCAAATAGCCAAAGCCATCTTGGAAGATAAAACAAAACTGGAGGTATCATAAGTCCAGACTTTAAGTTATATTACAACACTATAGTAATCAAAACAGTATAGTACTGGCCCCAAAATAGACACATAGGTCAATGGAACAGAATAGAAAACCCAGACGTAAACCCACAATTATATGGCCAATTAATCTTCGACAAAGGAGGAAAGACTATCCAATGTGAAAAAGACAGTCTACTCAACAAAGAGAGTGCTGTCCAGTTGGAAAAACTGGACAGCAACATGCAGAAGAATGAAACTGGCCCACTTTCTTACACCATGCACAAAAATAAACTCAAAACCTAAATGTGATACTTGAAACCATAAAAATCCTAGAAGAGTGCACAGGCAGTAATTTCTCTGAGACAGGCAGTAGTGGTATCTTTCTAGATATGTCTCCTGGGGCAAGGGAAATAAAAGCAAAAATAAACTAGTGGGACTACATCAAAACAAAACGCTTCTGTACAGCAAAGGAAACAAAACCAAAAGGCAACTTACTGAATGTGAGAAGATATTTGCAAATGACACATCCAATAAAGGGTTAGTATCCAAATTATATAAAGAGCTGATACAACTCAGGGCACCTGGGTGGCTATTCTGTTAAGCTTCCAACTTTGGCTCAGGACATAATC